CAAATTCGTCAAGGCTCTCGATCTTAAGGTTGGCCGCTATGACGTCATTCCGGACGAAGCTACCCGACTATGGTCCGTAGTGTCAAATTCTGCTGGGCCTGCAGTCGCCACTTCTGTCGATCGCTCAGGAGCGCATACCAGGCCGGAGCAGCGTCTGTCAGTATAGGTCTTATGTACATCTTGTAGGTGGTAATCTTCGACTTAGCGGTAGCTTGGATGCCAGGACTGGACGGAGCATCGACCGCGCACATCTGTCTTTGCGGACGACGAAGTCGACGTGCGCAGTCATGCGCAGCATCCTGTCAATCCGGCGCCCAAGGTAAGTCACGGCCTTCTGGTATGCGATCTCCTGGCCTCTGAGGGTTAGTGGTGCTGGAAATCTTCTGAAGCGGCAAGTAAGCAGAGCGGTCGTCTTATCAACATTGACGGCCATTCTCCACTCATCCAGCCCTGGTGGCAACGGGTCCAGACGAGATGAAATAGGTGCTATCGTCCGCAAATAGCGCCAGCTCTACGTTGTCCTCCCATTCGCAAAGGTGACCTGCCAGGGTGGGGATATCATTGGTTTAAGCCGCGTACAGGACTGGAGACAGACAGCTGCCCTGTGGCACACCAGTTGTTATGGGTCTTATAGCGGACTCGGCGTCCTCTACACAAACGTAAAACCTCCTTTCTGCGAGGAACGACGCCACTAGCTGCAACATAGCAGGAGGGATACTGTTCTGATCTTCTAACTTGTAGAGTAGTCTAGAGTGCTACACCTTGTCGAACGCTTTCTCGATATCGAGAAAGACGCCCAACGATGTGAGGCCCCGGTTGTGTCCGACCGCAAGCAGGTGCAGCACTCTGGTCAGCTATGTTGCTGTTGAGTGATCCCTCCTGAATCCGTGCTGCTCCGCTGGAAGTTGGATGCACAGGAGGAGGCGTCTTAGCAGCAATCTTTCTAGCAGTTTAGCTATGTGCGGTATCAGCGTGATCGGCCTGTAATTGGCAGCTCTACGCCTTTCCTTCGCCTTGCCCGGTTTCGGCAAGACGATGATTTTGCCTTTCTTCCAGTCCTCCGGGAAGTGGGATGTCCGCAATATGCCATTGTAGAGTCGACCAATCTCTACAAGGACTCTGTTGGGCAGCTGTCGGAGTGCAGCGTTAGTAATCCCATAGTGCCTCGGCGCTTACTGTCCTCCGCAGTTTGGCGGGGGAGATGAACCACTCTCCTGCAAGCGGTGGTGCGGGCGACGACAGGAACTCCTGCACGCGACTCTCCTTCCGGGTATGGTTTTCCATGAACTCCGCACTTGCTGGGTTTGGTATGAACTGCTCCTCGAAGTGCTCTGCTAGAATATCCGCTCTGCCCTTGGCATCATAACGTCGCTCACCCGCATTGTTGGTCAGCGGGCAAACAGTTGGTCGGGTTTTCGTTAACTGCCGGTTCAATGTCTAGAGCGACGTTTGATGTTCGTCAGCCTTCCAAATGCGCCGCTCCCAGGCCTCTCCTCTGCGGGCCTGTATTGCAACCGATAGTTCGTCCGTTAAGGTGTTAAGTTTCGTTTTTATTCTGGGGCAGCGAGTGCGCGCCCAGAGCTTTCTCAGCGCTCTTTTGGGTTTCAGCTGCACGCATGTCTCTCGCGGCAGCTCGTCCTTTTTTCCCGAGAGAGGGACAATCGTAAAGGTCGCTTTGAGGGCCTCCTGGATACTCTTGGAAATTCTGGTTGGAGCGGCCTCTACGTCGCTCGCTGAGTGAATCGGTGCGTGGAAACGTTTACATTGATTGTCCTATGTAGGATTCCATGAGTCCAATAATTGGTATTACTACATACACTATATTGTGCTTGTTTCTAGTATATACATAAACATATAATATATAAAAATAAACATAAATACTCACGCCTATCACACAGAGGGGCAGGCAAAAACTATAGACTTATTTGGCACGATTTAGCCTTTCTAACCTCCCTACGCATACATGTGTACTCTTAATTTGGCCCATTATTTATATATTGCCATTTTGGTCGATAAACTTTCACCTAGGGCGTCCCTTCCTGACTCTGTCGTTCACTTCTGCAACGTAAATTTACTTTGTCACAGTTTCCTCATTCATTATTTCTACACGACCAAACCGAAGCATTCCTTTCTTACTCCTGGTCACAACATAATCTTGTAAACCACACTCTTCTCTTATCACACAATATTTGAACCCGTCATTTAAATTCATCGGTAGTAATTACTATTTTACAGTAATTGAGAATAAATTACTATTTAAATTTTTTTTATAGGATAAGGGTGACAAACGAGCAAACAGTCCACCTGATGGTAAGTGAATGCTGTGGCCCATAGACATCTACATTTATCCTCCATTAAGAATCAAAATGCAGAAGCTTTGTCACCCATGAGGACTGAGATGGATTGCCTCGTTTCTAGTAAAAAGGGTCTCCGGTTCTATTGCTCGGTTACGGTATACGGTTGTTTTTATTGCACGGTATAAACACAACGTGGAAAGTACTCACAGTAACTTTTTGATTAACTTTGAATTTAAATTTGAGTTTGATCAGTCTTTCAAAAACTGGCCATAATTTTATTTACTAATAAAATCATAATTTTATATTATACCAAAAAACCCTTCACTCCTGGCCGTATAAGGAAGCTCAAAGTCGCTCAGCGAGCTACTATACTCGGGGTTATCTGCATGATAAACATATAAATAAGGATATTCACAGTAGAACCAGAGAGACCGACATGGCCCAATGGATCAGTAAGCTGAAGTGGCAATGGGCTGGCCATATAGTTCGAAGAATCGACAATCGATAGGGGGAAAAAGGTTCTCGAGTGGCAGACTAGTACCGGAGTGCAAGGTGACCCCCCAATAGATGGAGTGACGACCTGGTAAGGTTGTCACTCCATGCATGCAGGAAGTCGATGGAGGCAGGTGGATTAGAACTGTGTTCCTGTTTGCAGCAGCGGACTTGTAAAGGGCTGTAGGTAATGAATTAAAAAACACTAAAAGTCACTTTTACCAACGCTGAACTGATGCGGACTACGATTTGTTTAGTGATAAAAATATCGACATAGTCTTCGTCTTACGTTGCTTCCGCATGCAGACAGCGGCACCAGTGTATCGACACGTGTACAATTTGATGGTATGTGTAAATGCAATGAACACAAACACAAATGCTGTAGTGTGCGTGTATATTGACGCGATTCAATTTTGCATTTGTATTGAAGTATACAGTAGTGTGTTTTTCTTGCGCCCTCCCCCCGACATTGACAGACTTTTTGTTTAGGAATTAACTCGCATCGAATCTCCAGTTTGTTGAATACTCAAAGGCTCAGACTCGTCTAACTACTTGTCTATCGCAATCGTCTTCGCCTTCTTGTTTTCCAGAATCCATTATAAACTGCCAGCTCATACAGTACCTTGAGGAACACCAGCTGATTAGTGACCACGAATACGGTTTTTTTCGGGGTCGATTAACTGGTAATGCTCTAGTCTACCTGACTCATAGATGGGCAGAGGCAAAAGAGTCCAAGGGGGATGCATTGGCCGTTAGTTTGGACGTAGCGAAGGCCTTTGATCGGGTTTGGCACAAAGCGCTTCTTTAGAAGCTCCCTTCCTCCACCTTCCTTTTCCCTAGAGTATTGCGGTAGTATATTGGCGGTCCATAACGGAACGAATTTTTCACAGGTGAGAGCACTGAGTAGTGCTCGCAGTGTATATCGGAACACGGGCAAAGTACATGACGCTTGGAGAATCAATAGGTAGTTGCCAAACTAAGAAAAAAAAACTCCCCACTTATATTTTTTATTAATATTACGTAATAAGTAAGAAGACTTGGAGTTGTATGGCTAGCTAATAAAGAGAAGGAGTATTATAGATAGGTCTTAGACCAAAAAAAAAATAGATAGAAGTAGTGACGCAAAAACCATGCTTAACTTCTTGACGCACATTCAAGCACATATCTTTCTTCTTTATTTCGTTAAAGTTCACAGCTCGAAGCACACATATGCACATAAAGCCATATCTTTCGTTGTAAATAATTTTAGATGCAAATGTGTTCATGTGTGTGCAAGAAACGAGCTTACTACCGGCCGGCCGGTATTATAGGCCGGCAATGCACTTGCAATTCCCCTGGTGTTGCAGTTATTTATGGACGGCGGGTGAAACTTAACATTAAGAGAATATAGTAAGTCAGCTCAAATTCTAATTTGGCTCCCACTTCCCCGCGCGTCGTATGCTATGTACCGACATGTTTGTAATCACTAATACTGTAAGTAGATAGGTCGTTAGGTACTTATTTCATTAGGTTTATCATATTTATGCCTATTTCTTAACGCCAACCCAGTCGCTTCTTATTTTTATTACGGTTATTTCCCATTTTAATTTTACGTCGTCCTGTTGCGTAATGTGTATTCTGATCGTAAGCGACACAACTTCCCCCTTCAAAGGCCGAAGCGAAACGGGCGGCAGGAATCAAGCTTCAAGATGCCGATAGTTTAGGTAATTACTTTTTACAGTGAAAATAGTGGTATTTTTAAAAAAGTAAATAACATAAGCACTGCTTTATAGTTCAGTTAGTATGCAAAGTTTCATGATCTTATTTAAAGTATTTTATGAATAACAGCGGTTTACGAGTATTGTTTATTTTAGAGGTAATTTTGGATTTTTTTTCTATCGAGAAAATTTTACGGAATCGTATTTTCGTCTAACATAGTCCTTAACATTAATCCTCAACTTTACCATATATTTATTTCAAAATGAATGCTGCAATATTTTCAGCATGACGGAGGATCTTGCTAAGCCATTTGAGGTTATATTTCCCCTTAAGTGAGCATGCTTATGCTTGTGTTCTTTATCTGGTTTGACTTGGTTTTTACGTGACTTGATATGTGCAGTGATAGCAAAAATAACAATAACAAAACTAAAATAACTTAGTAATCTGTTTATTTAAACGCAAAATATTTGGTTAATAATTTCATAGTAATGTTGGTCCAATTTTCGCTTTCTATTAATAAACGTAAGATTGGGTATAATAGCCCTGGGTGTAGAGCTGTTGTTCCACCCAGTCATAAAGGTCCGGGACGTTCACGTACACACCGGGAATATCAGTCTGGCCGCATTTCCCGATGCCGTAGGCAACCATGCCGAAGATAGCAAACCGCGTGCCACCGACCTGGGTGAAACAGTACAGAGACTTAAAATTAAAACAGTTTTTTATATACAACTAGCTATCCGTCCCGGCTTTGCACAGGTGATTCGGAATTCCCAATTAAAATATAAATACGTTGTCACCCTTACCAACAACTACAATTAGTAAATTTGTGCTCTTGCCATGCCAGCTAAGGCAAGGGTGACAACGTTTTTCCGTTTTATTCATAGAATGTCGCTTTACTGTTTAAGGGGTCTGCAGCTCCCTTCACTCCATTATCCATCGGCCTCCCCTATAGATTGCCTCATATGGGGGATTTCCCTATAGTTGCCACGCTTGGCGAGCGGGTAGCCAACTGCAGTATTGATAACTTTGAGTTGTTATCAGGAAGACGCCGCTGCCCATCTCCTGGTTTGCTGTCCTCTGTTTCCTCTTTGGAAACCCAACTTAGGATGATATGGGGTTGTGGATATTATTACACCGGCACTAAATGGGTACCCTTCACCCAACAGTTATCGTATGAATCACAGCAGCATTAGCAGCATAATGGTACCGTGTTTGACACATTTGCGTTCATACTCCAAAAACAAATAAAGAATCGGTGGCCCCTTTGACAACGCATCTGCATTTTGATTCTTAATCGAGGATAAATGCTAATATTTACGGGTACCAGCATCCACTTACCATAAGGTAGTCTGTTTTCTCGTTTGTCATAAAAAAGTATCTAAGGCAAAAACTAAGGCATTCTACATGCCCTGTTAATAGTAAAAGTGGTCTCCGGTTCTCTACATTCACGTATTTAACGTTAGTATTCAGCGAGAGCATAGTCTTTCCCCAGTAGAACCGATACGATGCTGCCGAATATACAACTGCAGCTCAACCACGGTATTCTTTACCATTTCATAATAAGGTCTTCCAGACTGAATCTCGGTTACGGTAGCCAGCCTCAACGGAGACTAGCCATCGGCGCAGGGCAGGATTACAGTGCTCGAGTGTATGCGCAAGTATAGGTACACTCAATTCTTTCTACTCTCATAGTCCGATAAGACGGTAAACCGATACGATCGGAGAGAGATCAGGCGCTGTATAAACGGCATTACGTGCTTTCCGAGGCACGGAGGTGTGACACAGCCAACTTCCTGACTACAGTTTCCCGGGCCACGTTATCCTAGAAGAATAAATGATGCAAAAAAAATGCACTTACGCCAATCGGACAGACGAGGGGAGAACCTCCATCACCCTTGCATGTGTCGATGCCAGCCTGACCGCCAGCACAAGTGAGAGACGCGTGGAGACGGAAGATACGTCCAAGTCTTGTCTTCTGCAGCATCTCCTCACACCGACTGTGCTCTACTAATGGCAGTTTCACCTGTAAAATGGCGTTAAGTTGTGGTTTAGTTTTAGAAAACCAACGTCCTACTGATTGCATACCTTTCAGTTTTGAAAGGGTTATACAAAAGCAAGAGACGCAAGATATTACGTTTTGTTTTAGTGCTTACCTAGAAGTAGTGCACCTAAGAAATGAGGGCATTCACGACCTTTTCTGCCACCAGGGCAACTCCACTTAACAATAAGATGTAATAGTGAACAGATTTCATAGCGGGGAAGTTAATTTGTTCAAAAAATGTAAAGGTTAGTGTTTCTTTGTGTACTATAAGTAATATTTTTTATAAATTAGATTAAAAATTAATAAACCAAAAAAAGAGCCAGCTCCTTCTATTTGACTGCATCCAACGCAAAACAGTTCGAATCATCGGCGACTGAGCACTTTCTGATCAGCATGACTCATTTGCGCTGCGAAGCGATGTTGTATCTCTTTGCGTATTCTATAGTATTTACCACGGGAAGTGCTCAAAGGAATTGAACAAATTAACTCCAGCCGCTCAATTTAACCATCGTACCCTCACCCTCACCATCACCCTAATCACCAACACAACCACAAGAAAATGTTTCCTCGCACAACTTCTTTGTGGAATCTACTACCACCTGCGATTTTTGCGGTCTGTTACGATTTTGGGACTTTATCGGACCTCATAGGGCCAGAAAGGAGCCTACTAACGTGGCCTTTTAAAAAAGAGTAGGCCGGTGTTGCAGATGATCATGGACGGCGGTAGTCACTTACCACAAGTTGAGCCGAATGCTCATTTGTCCCCTCATATATTAAAAAAAAACTTTCGAATATTTAAATTGTCATACAGTCCTACTCCCTTTGGTATCGTGCCAAGAACGCTGGCTGCGTTTCCTCGCTGTGTTATACTTAGCCTACGAGTGAGAAAAGGTATTATATTTGCGCGAACACTTTACATTTAAATATTACAAGTTTTTACGGATTTTATCGCGTATATTTAACTTTTTAAATACCCGACGTTTCGAGCACTTTACAGCACTCATGATCGCGGGCAGGGTTGTACTGAGATGTTTAACGTCAAGATGTCATAATTAAGCCTACGTCACAGAGAACGACTGAAGCCGGCCACAGTCGAGCGTGTACCTGCTGTACTGCCATATGTTAGAGGAGTCACTGACAAGATTGGCTACATCTTAAAGCGCGCTTCCATTCAAACATACAGTCCTACTCTTCAAGCCGCCGAAGAAGATCGGTTCATACCATCAGTCAGGTGTAATGTCCCTCTACAAGATGCAGTAGTGTATAAGCTTGATTGTGAATGTGGTCTCCTTTACATACGACAAACTAAAAATCAATTAAATCCCGCGTTAAATAACATATAGCTGATGTGAAGTATCGACGCTCCGGGAAATCTACAGTCTGTGAACACGTACAGGATCGCCCCCGTCACTACATCAGATTTGATAGACCACAAATCCTCGTTAAGGAACATCGATTCCTTCAAAGGATGATTCGCGTGGCTATTGAAATCAAAAAACATCCTAATTTCAATAGAGAAGATGTGTGGGAGCTACCATCTGCTTGGGATCCTATAATTAATAAAATTAAATCCCAACCCAAGCATACAACTGCAAGACTTGTAGATACTATAAGTTCATACTGTGTAGATCGGAACAAAAATTAATAATTTTAATCTGTGGTACCCGCGGTTAACTATGATATCTTGACGTTAAACATCTCAGTCCCCCCATTATCTATTAATGTATTTTTAACACGTATTATATGCATGCTGTAACTCCTTTTATCACTATCTTTGGGGTTGAGTTTTCCAAAATCCTCCCTTAGTGGGCGATTACGTCGAGGAAGGCGCATTTATGCCAAATTTCAAGTCAATCTGGCGTATAATTTTGGACATCTCGTGATGAATAAGTGAGTCAGTAGTGTTTTGCTTGTATATAAATATATTATATATATGCATAATGTAGATAAACTTTAGTTTTCTGCACTCCTATTCCATATAAACTTTAATTATGCTAAATCTCACACTCCTTCGAGCGCGCAAAATACTTAACTAACAAGGTTAATACCGTTTAAAAAAATTCGACTGCGTAAAAAAAATACTAATAATACTCGTTATAAGATTATATAAGAACTTTATCGCAGATTTATTATAAGTTTTGAAAATTTAAACGAGAATGGTCGCTAACAAACTTAAAATCGTTATAGATCCTGAATAGTCACTCAAAATGAAAAATGACTAGAACATAGTTCGTGGACTTTAATTTTTTTCTTGTAAGCAATATGGCGTCTAATTGTTGCCATATAGAATTTTGATAATTATCATGTCCTTAGTGGATTGAGCCAAATCGATTGACACAAGAATCATCAAAATCGACACACGCTTTTGATCCCTGGAGCGCTACAGAGAAATAAACATACATAGGCTGATAAACACGATACCGTCCGCAGTCGGATAGCAAGAGAAGACACAAAAAAGGGTACTAGGTTTTAGTTTTTTTTTATTGTAAAGTACCGATCTGCCCCGGCTTCGTATGAGTAATATCTGTATTCTAAAAAGAGTGCTAGCAGCAACTACGTCTATAACCTTCGCGCAAGTGCAAGCAATATGTTGACAAAGTTTTACCGCAATCTGATGAACGGTATGGTAGTGTATAAAGTACGAACAATCATATATTTATTTCTTTATTTATAAATTAGTTTATCGTCGTGTATTTCAATGGTCTGGTCTGTGCCGAAATAAACAGTTTCTTGCTTTCCCTAAACAATGAAAATGTTACCTTCTTCAGTACCGCCGCGAAAACAGATTTGTTGTTGAAGTTATCAGCGCCCCAACCCATGCTGAAGCAGCTAGTGTTTGCCGGTGGTATCTGTTTGCCAAGACATCCAATGCTTATATGCGGTGCGTCTGTTAAATTGACTGGCTCCTCCAGAAACAGTAGCGCTATGTCGTTATATGCAGACG